TCTGCTTAAGACTTGGTAAAGTCCCCTTTCTTGTCATGTGCCTCTTGAAGTTTGAGGTCTTGTTCTGGAGCAGCAGAAACTAGCTCCCTTTAACAATCCTTCAGAGAGTTCAATATGATTGTCATGTCATCTATTTTGAAAAAAAAACCCCATATGTACTTCCATCAGCTCTTCCTCTGAGCTTAGTTTCTAGTTCCTTTACCTCCTTTCATGCAAATTTCCAGTTTGTGAATTTTGGAGCAGCTTACATGGGGTCAAACCTAATGGAACAGTTAAAACATAATACATTAAAATGCATATCAACATAATGATAGCAAAAAACAATATAAACTGGCTGTTAACTTGCTCCTGGCACTTCTCTAATCCACAGTAAATTGACAGACATGAGCCTTTGTAAGATTTTAGAATGTACAGTGTTATATGAGTATTTGAATCAAATTATCTATGAAAAGTTCGATATGTTTTGCAAAATTCAAGCCCTTGGGTTTTGCATTGTATGGAAACAGATGTTTCTGTGCAGAGTAACAATCCTAATGTTTGCATAATGAATACAATTATTCTAACTTGTTAGGGACATAGAGACATTTACTCAAAAATAGAAATAAAGGAAACATCTGGCTGATGCATTGTAATGTTATCGACTAGTGGCAGAACCCCTTTGGCGGAGAAGACTGAAGATCTCTCCGCCTGTCCTTCTCTTCCTTTTTGGAAACTGACAGCGAATCCTCCCACCAAAAGCTCTCTTCTGCTGTGATTGGTCAGCCTCTAAGCCAAGGGGAGGGCTGTTTCTAAGCGGGTGAGGGGAGACCAGGCGTGCTCAGTGCATGACAGTATGGTGCGCAAGTGTGGGCGAGGGAGAGCATGCGAGACTGGAGGGAGGCTTGTGCCCGCGAGTCCCTTCAAGTCATGGGAGTTCTGTATGGAAAATCTGGCCCAAGTTTGGTCCAGATCCATCATTGTTTGAGTCCACAGTGCTCTCTTCATGTAGGGGAACTACAATGCCAGAACTCAAGGTCAATGCTCACCAAACCCTTCCAGTATTTTCTGTTCGTCATGGGAGTTCTGTGTGGGAAATATGGCCGATTCTATCGTTGGTGGGATTCACAGTGGTCTTTGATTAGGTGAACTATAAATCCCAGCAAGTACAACTCCCAAATGTCAATGTCTATTTCCCCCAATCCCCACCAGTGTTCACATTTGGGCATATTGAGTATTTGTGCCAAGTGTGGTCCCGATCCATCCTTGTTTGTGTCCCCAGTCCTTTCTGGATGTATGTGAACTACAACTCCAAAACTGAAGGTCAATGCCCACCAAACTCTTCCAGTATTTTCTGTTGGTCTTGGGAGTTCTGTCTGCCAAGTTTGGTTCAATCCCATTGCTGGTGAAGTT